AAATTTTATTTAAATATTTTAAATTTTAAAAAAAGTAAATCATAAACAAATTTATAGCAATTTTCCAGGCAAATTTGTCTGGAATTGTCTATAGTTTAAGAGATAATAGGACAAAAATGAAAAGAGCAGAAAAAAAGACATAGAAGTTCTGATGAACTATCTTTAAAAAAAAACAAATAAAAAAAACAAAAAGAAAAAATACACTATTATAACCTGTGCTAGATATAAAGATAAAAATTATATACTAATTGTAACTAATTAATATATCTTGGCTATAAAGCTTCACTTTAACATTGAAACTCATTCCAAACATGTCACCAGAGTTGGGTATCTCCTAAATGGGATTATCAATTTCATCCCTATACTGTAACACCATAATGATAAACAAAACAAATACATGGTTGTGTTCATCCAAATTAGATAAGTGTAAACAATGCCAATCTTTTGAAGAAAGTAAGCTAAAATGCTTACTTTTTGTCAAAATTTTTGGTAAGGTTGGTAAGATGCAAAAGAAAGAAAAAACACTTGAAACCACTAAAAGAGCATAGGTTTTTTTTTACTAAAATCAACTATCCACCTGAGCCTGCACAGTACTAAGTCTTTTTGATAAGTAATAAACTCTAAACTTGTTGGCAAGTAGTGTATAAGAATTACTTCTAAATGACAAGTGCTATGCCTGCAGTCAGTAAGTGATAAACTCTAAGGCTGTTAGCAGGTAGTGTATAAGAACTACCTCTAAATAACAGCTGCTGACTTACAGTCTCTTTTCCTATATTTTATATGAGAGTTGTCAACTTTACTCTAGTATACTGTTTTTTTTCTTTTTTTGGAAATTGTAGTCCAAATAATCATTAGAAAGAGTTGTTTTCAACTTTTGCTTTCTTTGTCTAACTTATTTTTCTTTTTCCTCAACTGGTTTAATATATTTTATTTAAGAAATTTGTTTTGAAAATTTTGATATCTATAATTTAAAACTATTTAAAAGGTTAAAAAAATATATATATAATAAATTTTAAAATATTTATTACAAAATATTCTAAATTATTTTATAATATACAGTCAGACCTTTCTATAATCATCTTCTATATAAATAAACAGTATTTTCTTTATATGTATATTTCTTTAAAAGCTAACTATTATAAATATAATATATTTAGCCTTTATAACTGTTACACATTTTTGTATTCCAAGTGTGTAATTGTAAAGAGGTTTGACTACTGTATATTTACTGTTAAAACAACAATTATATTAATATATACATATATACTTCAGACAATTGTAATATTATTATTTATGCAACTAGTAAAATTAATAGCAACTTATTATTTTATAATGAAGATTCTACTTTATAAAATTACACTTGCAACTGTATATATAATACAAACAAAATTATATTAAAACTACTACACAACATTAAATGAGCAAAACAAAACAATATTGTAATTGATCGTTATTAGACACCGATTTTTATATTATAAACATCATCGGATACAACGAAGAAAATATACTAAATTAACAATCTAACTCACGTTAAAATAGTACATTGAATAAGCCGGTGTTTTAAGTACTAATTTAGAAATCCTCTGCACTTAGTTGCTCCACAATGGCACGGAATTTTATCAAAATTTTCAGTTGGAAACTATCAATAAATAATTAATATTGTATAATAATTATCATAATAATAATAATTAATTTACCTTATAATCATAGGTGATCTCTTCATTTTTTTGTATGTTCCTCTTCGCGTATATGGCTATTTTTTTATGTCCTTTGACGTTAAGAATCTTAGCATTACAATTCGGCTTTAATTTTTATATAACGCCCATGATAAACTAAAGAAGTCAATAAATTTTCAAAAAATTTAAACAATCTAATTCAATCAAAACACAACTTACCTCACATGAATGATTTATTAGCCTAGCATTATTTCCCATTCTGGTGGCGTCGATTATTGTATCATCTCCAACTCTAAACATATAACTTCCATCAATCCCTTCTGCTTTATATTTTCTTTCTCTCAAATCTGCAACTGCCTGTCTAATTAATTCTCCTGTATATTCGATCACAAATTCTCCACACTTTATTTTTTCCAAAGTGAAAAGTCCATAATGATGTATCGGTGATTTTGCTATTGTAAGTTCTCTTTCTCGTGATTTTAATGGATTGAATTGAAGATAATCTTCCGATGCTGTGGCCATCCTTGCATGTAATTCCCGTCGTTTTGCTCTTGATTCACGTGGACTAGGCGCTGGAGCTGTGGCATTTGCATATGGTGTACCGGCGATTCCATATGTAACGTATTTACGTTTTTCTTCTGGTGGTATTTTGTAATACCCTTCAGTCCTAGCACATCCTGTTTTATGAGGTCCTGGATCAGGTGCATAGTCTTTATATGAATATACAGTATCTGGTTGTAAACAATATATGTCAGAAAAACTAATAAAGATAATAATAATGATGATGATAATAATGATAATAATGATAATAATAATAAATAATAATAATAAATAATAATAATAATAATGATAATAATAATAATAATAATAATAATAATAATAATAATAATAATAATAATAATAATAATAATAATAATAATAATAATAACAATAATAATAATAATAATAATAATATTATTATTACTTACCACCCACTCTGACAGTGTATTCCTCTTTTTCTACCCAATCTATCGGTTCACCATCACTATCCAGTTGGTTATTCTGCTGTAAAGTGAGATAAAGTTTGATCATGTCTAAATCAAATGCATCAGTAATACCATCTTCCGGAGTAAGGTACGGTCTCTCAACCCATTCTGAGTTGAAAAACGAATCACAATCTTCCGTTTGTCCTTCGCTGTTTGAATTTGATCCACTTGTTTGTTTTGTACTATCACTAGTTGTATCATCTACATATTGATTCCTGATAGAACTTGATGTCTCTTGTGCATTAAATGTTTTTGAATTAGATATTAATATGTTTTTAGATTTTGAGCCTTGTGTATTTGAGACCAAATTGTTTTTTTGTCTGCGACTAGATTTAATTTTTGTACTTGATCCCGAAGGCGTAGCGACAAAAATTCGATTCTTTAATTCACGATGTTTTAATGTGGGATTGTTGAAGGTATAGCTACTACTTTTAACTTTTTTGGCCGTTTCAGATGCATTTGAAGCACTAGATTTATTATGTACCTTCTTACTAGTTTCAGATACACTCGATACACTTAACTTTTGTTGATCTTTTTTATGTATTGATTGTAGCTCAATGTCATTGTTTTTATCTGTATTATCTATATTATTCAGTTTTTCATCTTTAAAAGGTGACAGATTTCTAACAGTTGACGATGATTTTTTCGTATCTTCTAGTGATGACTCAGATGATGAATAGTCCCAATCACTAATTTTCGGTCTTTCAACTCGTTTATCAGGTTTGGTACCCTGTTTGATATTTTTTCGACGAATGTTTCCGTACAACTTATCATCAGTATCTTGAGTACCGTAACCATCTGATTCATTATCGCCTGATTTTGACGGTTTCTTTGTTATTGATTTTTTCGAAGTAATCTTTTGTTCAGAATCTCGATTAATATCTTTAGAACCATGTGTGGAAAGATGCTTTTGATCTTTCGTCAAAATTTCTTGTTTTTTCTTTGAGTCTTTCGTGTTCAGATTTGAACGTTTCCGGAAACTTGGAAGATCTTTTAGGTCATGAAATGCCTCTGAGAAACTTATACCTATTTTTTCTTCCTCTTCAATTTTGATGCTAGAACTGAGATCAGTATTATCATCATCTTTTTCAATTTTAATTTTCTTTTCATCGTTGCGCAATATTTGGGATCTTTCTGATGTATTCCGACTATATGAATAGTCTCGATCACGATCATTATTGCGGTTGTTATCCTTATCACGACTTTGATCGTTTTCTCGACCACGTGAACGAGTTATATCTCGATCATGTCTACGATTGCTTTCATATTCACGACTTGAAACGCAATCACGGTCACGATCACGGCTACGATAAGAATCATGATATCTACTATGATTACCTTCTCGGTCACGATTCCAGTTTTGAAAACCATTGGGACTTCTATCGCGACTTCGACTTCGACTCTTCTCAGCAGAATACTTGCTTTTATTAGATCTATCTCTTGAAGAATTTCGTCTTCTACGATCCAAATTGTAACGATCCGAATCATATTGTATATGGTCATATTCACGCCATGAAGAAGATAATCGCGTTCTAGATTCAATTGGATATCGCCAGGTTGAATCAAATGGGCTTCTTTCAAACCCTTTAACCTTAATATTACGTGGAGTCGATTCTTCAGTATTTGAATCAATTTCACCATCTTCCTTGTCATCATTCATAAATTGCATATCTTGTTTCTGCTCATTCTTATCCAAAGTTTCATTAAATAATTTTGCAGGATCTTTCGACGACCCTTTAATATCTGAGTCAAAATCTTTCGATGACACTTTAGATGTTGAAAAAGTTTTTGATAGCATCTTAGATGCTGGAACAGAATCTTTTAATGAAATTTTAGAAGAGTCTTTTACCAGAAGCTTTGTTGTCAGCGTTGAATCCTTCGTTGGAATAGAATGTGTAAATTTACTATTGATGCTATCTAATGACCGAGATGGTGGTGGTGGATCTAATGGAACTTTTATTGGAGGAGCTGGTGGGGGTGCCATTGGTGGGGATGGGGATGGTATATCGTCAATTTCCATATCAATATCATTTGCCAATGGTGTTGACTTATGACTATTACTAGGTGAATGTGATTCTTTTTGTGCCTGACCCTCTGAAATATTTGTATCAATGGCAGATTTCAATTTTGATCCTAGCTCGAATTAAATATCAGGATTTGAATAAGTAAATTGAAGTATATATTAATGATAATTTATTTAACACTGTTAACATAATTACAAACCATCATTATCCAGCTCCACTTTGATTGGTGGACCACCGGATATTTGTTTGCCATTAAACCTAATAACGGCCTCTCTCGCTGCATTCAAAGCTGCACCATCATCATCTCCATAATAAGTAACTGTTGCGATCCCGAGACTATGATTATAATCTGGATGTTTTTCGATATTACATTCTCGTACAAATCCACATTCTTCAAAATTTTCCCGAATTTGAGATTCGAGCATGAATTTATCAAGGAATGATATGATGATAGTAGATTCTTTACGATTAGGTGCTTTTTTATCTTGCTGCATTAAGATAAAAATTGTGAGAATATATAGATTATATACATTTGTACTTTACAAAAGTATATATAATCCAATATTTTCTATAAATACCTCATATGTCAGAACTTGTAAGGCTTTGCAATACTTTTGTCGCTTGACATTAAGACTCAGTGCATATTCGCGATTTATTCGTGGATCTCCTTCAGGTTGTCGAAGTTGCTGAAATAAAGTAAAAACAGTATCACTGCAACGTTATAAAATATGAAAACATCAATGAAATGAATATTTGATATATACATGTTCAATGTTTTTTGTAACTTTAGCAGTTGTTTCTGCCAATGTTTCGGGTGTTAGATTCGGTTCATAATATATTAAAGGGCCTTCGTTATTTTGATGATCGCCCTTTTGAAGTGCTGATGAATTAGATTCGGAGGAAGCCGAGCGAGGACAGTATGGTTGTAGTAGAACCCTACAGGTTTTTATATCTACTTCAGGGAGTAAAAAGAATTCCGGAACCTCGGTCATAGAAGTGATCGTGCCTAGTGTTGGCGGTAGAATTACTGAATTACGGTATTACGGCATTCTACCATATGGTAGAATTAATTACAGCACAGAACCTAATTGCCGTAAATATTATGTGCCGTAATGCCATAATGCCATAATGCCGTAATGCCGTAATGCCTAATCATAATACGTACTATAGCGATATAGTATATATATATAATATATAAATTACTGTATATAGTGATCTTTATACTGTATATATCATTATAATTTTTATAACTTTAGGCTCTGGACTTTTGTTTTAATTACTAAAATTATTAATCAATAATAATTTGATTATTGCTAATAATCTCTATGTGATTACAGTATATGTAAAAATTAAACCTTAAAGTCTAATAAATTTTGGATTAGAAAATAATACAGGTGGGTAACAAAAATAATTCCACACTTAAGGACTTGGCTTATAACTCAAAAATTTACTAATTAATTTTGAATTTTATTTATTTATATAATTAACAAGTTACTGTATTTAATTTATTTTTAGAGTTTTGAAAAATTTGTAAGTGTCTGTGTTTTTTTAAAATATAATTTGATAAAATTTTAATATATAATATAAAAATTTGATTTATAGTTGATTAAAAAATTAACAAAAATAAAAATTTTAAGTTTAATTTTTTTTTATTAATTTTTTTAAAACTATTAATCCAAATTAGATAAAATCTTTTTTATTTAATAAAAAAAGATTTTTTTACAAAATAATTAAAATTTAATTACTAGTTATTGAAATAATTAAGATTTATTAAAAAAAAGCATTCTGGGTTACTGCTTTGTGACAGTAATTAAATGAGGTTCTTAACTCCCGTCCTAAGGATCCAGACTTCTGTATCACCATACCAATAGGGAGTACTTAAAAAGGGGTGGTAGCCTAATTAAGTGGTGTACAACATTAATACCTGAACTCATGTGAATAGCTCTCCTAATGGCGGCAGCAGGTGGCTTGAGATATAGGTCTTTGGATAGCAGCAGCACCTGGCTTGAGATACAGATTAGACTTTGAAGTAACATACTCAAGGAATACCAAACTAGAAGCAAGAAGAGCATCCACTCCTAGAACACCAATTTGGAAGTTATACAAGATACGAATTAGGAGTAATATAATAAGTGATGAGGGGTGGATTATAACTGGTGGATGTTGTATAGTAGTATATATAGCGGGATATATATGAATTAAATAGGTGAGCACGGCCTACTGTTGATCCAGAGAGAAACCCCCTAGCAAGTTAGGGGCCAAAGAGGAGGTAAATCTGTGGCTAGACAGTTACACTTGGGCATCTTAGAGCAGCCGAGTAAGCTTTGTTACAGAGTCGGTGGGAGGTATAGTTTCTAAAAGTTTCTATACTAATAAAACCTTGTATATCTTGATAAAAAAAGACACTTAATTACTGAAGTTAATAAAGCAGACACCGTTTAAAAAAAAAAAATTAAAAATTAAAAAAAAGCAAGTAGTTATTATTTATATTAATTTTTTTATCAAATATAGATATTCTATAAAATAGGTGGGCAATATAAAAATAAACTCTGCTAATGATTAGTAATTATTAATAAATATTTAGTAGAGTTGCAGAGTTTTTGAAATTTGCCTATCTATTCTATAAAACATCTTTAAATATTTGTAGATTCTTTATAATTTTTTCATAAAAGTTATATTTTTAAAAAATTAATTAGATTATATAAGTAAATTTTTTAAAATTGTATATTTATTTTTAAAGATAAATAGTTTTTAAACTATAATTTTATTATCAAAATACTTCTTTTAGTTAGAGAATTTTAACAAAACTTGTTTTATTAAAAGCTAATCACTAAATTACAAAATATTTAAAAATTTGTAATTTTTTATATAGATTAAAAATAGTTAATTTATAACTTTTATTATTTGAATTATAATTTTTAAGTAAACTACTAGTTCAAACTAATTTTTTTTTATTTTAAAAATATAATTTTGACGATTGCTATTTGTACACCATGTATATATACATATATATATTGATATTTTAAAATCCTGGTTATATAATAGCTTTTGGGGTTTAACAAAAAATATTCATTGCAAAATTTTAGTATAAACTATAACTTTTTCTAACTCTAAAGCTACTCTCACCCTAACCTTAAGCTATACTAATTTTTTATTTACAATTTATATGTTAAGCAAATTCATAAATCAATAAATTAGTATATAATATATATATATACACCTGGTGTAAATTAAGAAATTTTCTATAGTTTTTATTAATTTTGTAAAAAAAATTATAAAGAATTCACAAACATTTAATAAAAAATCAATATAAATAATAACTAGTTTTTTTTTAACAAATCTTAATTATTTCAATAACTAGTAATTAAGTTTTAATAATTTTTTTTATTTTGTAAAAAAATCCTATCTCTATCAAATAAAAAAAGCTTCATCTAATTTGAATCAATAGTTTAAAAAAAATCAATAAAAAAGATTAAACTTAAAATTTTTATTTTGTTAATTTTTAATCAACTATTAATTAAAACTGGTTCAAATTTTTATATTATATAAAAAATATCTTCTGCTATAATATATTGAAGTTTTATTAAATTTGAATCAATAGATATTAAAATATTTTTAAAAAACACAGACACTTACAAATTTTTCAAACCTCTAAAAATAAAATTAAATAACTTGTTAATTATACAAACATATGATTTAAAAATAATATTACATAATTACAGAGAGGTATAGATTTAGATAAATAAATAAAACTAAAATTAATTAGTAAGTTTTTAAGTTATAAGCCAAGTCCTTAAATGTAAAATTATTTTTGTTACCTCTCTATACTGCACTACACATTATTAAGTAGTTTTTTGGTTAATAACTAGACTAATTAATTAATAATTATTAATTATTATTGTTACTAATTCAAGAGGCCCCATCATTAGGCACGGATACAAATAATTATAACAATAATTATAACAATAAGTAAAGTTAAGAGAAAAGGAGATATTCTGGCATAGGTAGATAATTTGGTGCACAAAGTTTTTTGATAATATCTTGTAATACACTAATCAGAATCAAAAAACTTTAGTACTATTTGATTTGTTTTAACAAGCTAAATCAAATAATGTTAAAATCATTTAATTCAAAGTACTAAAATTCAAAAAAAAATTGAAAACTCATAAATTTACTAATATTTTGGCCCCCAGCTCAAAAGAAACTGATCTGATATGATTAATAAAATTAGTATGTAATAATTATCTAATTTAATATGCATATAATACTAAGCCAATTGAAGTAATAAATAATAAACTTTTATTGATTTCTTATCAAAGGTTCAGAATCAATATGACAAAAAATTTTGTTATATATACTAAGTTCTTCATTCATATAAGTACTATAACAGTCTTTATAGAATTTTTTAATATATCAAATTCTTCTAGTATAAAAAACATTTCAACGAATTTATACATTTCAAATCCCTTAATTGTAAATCAATATTTATTTTTTTGATCAAAAACATCACTTGTGGCTTTACTAAATCTTTTTTTCATTAAAAGAATATACTCTATCTTAGCAGATCCCTAAAATAATAAATAGCTTTGGCAAAATATACAATGAAATCTTTAATTTTGATTGTACTAGTCTATATGAGCTCAATGAATATTAATTAGCTCAATGATTGTATCTATAAAAATGAGTTTTAAAAGATAATTGATTGTGTTTCTTAATCTCTTATAGAAATACAGAAGAACATAGTTCATTTTTTCTTTAAATTTACTTATAGTATAAGTGTTATTCATTAAATCGCTACAAGTGTTTAAAACTGAATCGTTTATTTTTTTATTTTGCAAATTAAAATGATCTAACATATTTATGTTGTAAATTGAAAAAACCTTTAGCAAGCATCATATAGAAGTTATTTGATTTATATTCAAGAAGTACTTTTATTATTCATTTGTTTGAATTACAAATTTGGTTAAAATAATTTACAAACTTAGTTAGATTCAACTTCAAAATTCAGAATTCTGTCTAGCTTTATTTGTTAATCTTCATTTATTCAAAAATATAATTGTAATTGTAAATATATATGCAAACAAAAAGCTTAACTGCAAAAAAACAATCATGATTATGATTATGATTGCAATAAAACTTACAATCACATATAAAAAATAATAACAAATCTTGATCGTGATTGCAAATAAAAAATTAGCCATGCAATTAACAAGCTAAATAAGATAATTCAAGATAATTTACTTACCCCAGATCATATATGAAATATAGACAAAACTAGCTTCATTATAGCTTCCAAGATTCAAAAGGTTTTTGCTGCCAAAGGTTCTTGTCAGATTCATAAAGTTGCACATGGCAACTTACACAATCATATTTCTGTTATGCTAACTATTTTAGCTACTAGTAACTATATTCTCTATTAATTATATACAAAGCTATTCATATAATTCCCAGCTTGTTAAATAGTTTATCACTTGGCACAGTTATAAGCTTTACTAATTCAAAATATATGTATAAAGAACTTTTTTAAATGTATATTGAATATTTTACAAACTCTATACCTTCTTATCGTCTAGTTCTTTTAATCTTTGATGAATACAAAAGCTATATAAATTATATAAGCATTGATTATTGTCATCAAAATAAAATTTTGCTATATACATTTCCTCCTCATATGATACATATTCTCCAACCATTTAAACTTCCTTTTGCTAAACTCAAAACTAAGTATAGCAAAGACTGCAATCAACTTCATTATGAAACTAGTGAATTAGTAACTAAGTATATATTTGCTAAAATGTTTGAACAAGCATTTATTAAAACTTATACACCTTTAATAATATCTAATGCTTATAAAGCTATGAGATTTGGCTTTTTAACCCTAATGCTATTAGCCCCAATTGTCTTGATTTCTTTTTATCTACAGAATGAATAGATATTTTTTTTACACTGTCATTTTTATCTTCATCTTCTCAACCAAGTCATTCTTTTTTTA